TCAGAAAACTCTTGTAAAATTAGGCTATGTCACATATTGTTCAGTTTTTAAAATAATAAATGTCTTTTAATATTTATAATTAATATTATTTTATAATATTGTATAGATCGTTTAATAAAATAAATGTTAATTAAATAAATAAATAGATACAAATAAATCATAATAATAATAATGAAATAATCTAATGTAAGAATACTCAAATTTAAATTTGCAACAAATGCATCAATGTTTAATACATATAATTAATATTATTTTATATTATTAATAATATTATTCATAATATTTTCTAATATTTTATATATTATAATATATATACTGTATATTTTTAAACGTTCAAATATTGAAATATAAAAACACAGCAATATTCAAAGGCCACACAACTTTTCCAGTCATTCGATATATATTAGTAAAATCTATATTGTTTTACTTCCAGGTACTGTAGAGTTTGGCATTACTAGACTAATGTTTGAAACATGTATAAAAATTTAATGAAAAAGATTTTTTTTTTAATTATTTGCCTGACTTTTCAGATCTAGAAATCACTATATATATACACGTTCAGTCAGATGTTCTGTTTCTGGATAAGTGAGCGAGTCTTAACCAGAAGAGCCGTGAGAAGACGACACACACACACACACACACGGGCCGGCAGGACGAGAGGCCGGATGAGCGAGTGTGAAGGGAAAGTGTGAGGTTTGGGTTCAGGGAAGAGGACGGATGAGGATAAAATCATCGAGGATCTGACGGGATGTGACCAGAGCATTCAGGAAGGACATGGAGAAAGTGTGTGTGTGTGTGTGTGTGTGTGTGTTTTCCTTAACTCTGTGTTCAAGAGTTGGTCTCAGTAAAAAAGAGAACAGAACATCATAGTGTGTGTTTGTTTGTGTGTCTGTGTGTGTGTGTGTGCGAGAGAGAGTGAGTGTGTTTGTGTGTGAGAGTGTGTTTGTGTGAGTGTTTCTGTATTTGTGTGAGAGTGTGAGTGTGTATTTGTGTGTGTTTGTGAATATGTGTTTTTGTGTGTTTGTTTGTATGTGTGTTTGTGTGAGAGTGTCTGTGTGTAAGTATCTGTGTGTGTGCTAGAGAGAAAGTGTGAGTGTGTGTGTGTATTTGTGTTTGTGTGTGAGAGAGTGTGTGAATATGTGTGAGTGTGTGTTTGTGCATTTGTGTGTGTGTTTGTCTATCTGTGTACATTTGTGTGTTTATGTGAGTGTCTGTGTGTACGTATCTGTGTGTGTGCATGCGAGAGAGAGAGAGTAAGTGTTTGTGTGTGTGTGTGTGTGTGTGTATCTTTAGGCTGATCACTAAATCTTCCAAATAATGTCAAACCTCAAATTAATCACAATCGTAATAAAATCGCTGCGATGCGAACGTGAATCTCTGAACCGCAGGATCTTCCGCCGCATTTGCGAACGACACACCTGAATAAGATTTACTCAAATATATGGTGAATAATAACATCAGTAAAGAGTAAAGACGCTTCCAAACATTGAGACAGACAGGAAATATTCTTTCAAAATGGTAAAATTGATTAAAAACCGTGATATATTTATTGTTTTGTCCAGATCACACTCGGCTCTAATCAGAATTACACAGCCAATGTATCGTAGTGGTTCACTGTTGTTCCAGCATCTCTCTGTATGATTTATGGTGTGTATGTTCACGTTCACACACACACACATGACCTTGCTGTAAGTCACATTGAGCCGGCGGAGTCAGAGCATCATGATTAGTCCTGCGGGAAACTTTCATCCAGTCCTTCCAGGAAACGAGGAACGCCGAGATCTCCAGATCTGTCGAGTCCACTAGAATTCTTTTTTGGGTTTAAATAAACTCGCTTTTTTAAACACATTAGTTGGTTTTCATATCACAATATGGCAATGAATGGGTGGATTTTAAATAATTTTACTACTTTTATTTGATGTTTTTTCTCTCTAAATGAAATGCTTTTGAATGTTTTTTTTTATTAAAAATAATTCCACTCATAAACATCCTGTTCAAGGGGTCATAACATTCACACACTCTTGCGTAGAATATGTCCAGATGTACAAGTAAGAATAAAAAATAATTAACAACATTTAAAATAAACAATGTGAACAGAACAAACATCAACATGGGCCTAGTTCCCCGAGTTAGTTTAATAAAAAGTTGCAACGAATATGTAATTTTTTCCATATAATTGTGTAATATGTAATATTTCTTAAAATTGTTTGGCGACTAAGGCTGTCAAACGATTTATCGTGATTAATTGCATCCAAAATAAAAGTTTGTGTTTACATAATATAAGTCGGTGGACTGTGTATAATTTTATGTATATATATATATTAGGGCTGTGCAAAAGTTAATTGTGATTAATCACATCCAAAATAAAAATCTGTGTTTACATAAAATATTTTCTTGTGTGCTGTATATAATTATTTTGTATATATAAATACACACACATGCATGTATATATTTAAGAAAATATGTTATTAATATATAAAATATTTATATTTATATAATATAGATTATGAATTTATAAATATATACAGAATTTAAGCGCAAATAATTCTTAAATATATACATGCATGCATAGGTATTTATATATACAAAATAATTATATACAGCACACACAAATATAATATATTATAATATAAATATATTATATATTATATTATGTAAACAAGGACTTTTATTTTGGATGCGATTAATCGCAATTAACTTTTGCACAGCCCTAATATATATATATATATATATATATATATAATTATACACACATGCATGTATATTTAAGAAAAAAAATATTATTTATAAAATATGTATATTTATATATAATATAAATTATATAGAAATCTATATACATCTTTACACATGCAAAAAAAAATGTATAGACTTTACAATAACAAGCAAGCAATGAAACTTCACCTGCGACCGCTGTCAATAACTATAATGTAAATGAGGAACTATGTGTGTGTTGGTGTGAAAGTTCGCAGCTTTAGCGAAACCTTTCGGATTCAGTTTAAAGATGTGACACTTTGAGGTCTGACCTCGGGTCAGTAATCTAGATAGATAGATAGATAGATAGATAGATAGATAGATAGATAGATAGATAGATAGATAGATAGATAGATAGATAGACAGTAACCTCGGGTCAGTGTTATGATTCGCCCCGGGTGGGAGAGTCAGGGTTGGGTTCTTGAGACTCAAGGTCAGTCGTGCTGATGTGTGTGTGTGTGTGTGTCACCTCTCCTCTTCCTCTTCACATCTTCCTCCCGTCACATCCATCCGGTCTGGAGCTTCTTATCAAACGCTCATCTGAGAACTGTCACTGTAATATATAATTGCACAATGAGACGAGTACATTGCAGATAATTTGATTCTCAGTTTAAAGCTGCAGTCATTTCTGAAAAATGCACAGGGCCTCAGAAACTGAAACGTTTTTGACCAAGCGTACACTTAGGCGTCACACAGTCATAAATATCTAAACATTCTTAAATCAAGACGCATTTACTGGAGAAGCAAAATGACTGAAGATATTAAGTCTAGTTTCATATAAAATTATTTCTATCAATTGGATCAGAAAAATAATCTTGTTTTCCTTCCCTATGAATTAAAGGAGTAGTTCATTTTGAAAAAAAAGTTTGCTGATAATTTACTCACCCCCATGTCATCCAAGATGTCCACGTCTTTCTTTCTTCAGTCGAAAAGAAATTAAGGTTTTTGATGAAAACATTACAGTATTTTCTCCATATAATGGACTTCAATGGGAACCAAACAGTTCAAGGTCTAAATGAGAGTTTCAGTGCGGCTTCAAAGGGCTTTAAACGACTCCAGACGATGAATAAGGGTCTTATCTAGCGAAACGATCGCTCATTTAATAAATAAATAACAAAGTTTAAGTTTTATAAGCTCAAATGCTCGCCTTGCTCTGTTCTGTGATGCACGTTCGTGACTCTCCTGTTCGAACTCGTTCATCAAAATGAACGGATCGTTTTTTGAGTCATTTTTGAAATGAGCGATCGTTTCGCTCGATAAGACCCTTATTCATCTTCTGGTGTCGTTTAAAGCCCTTTGAACAGTTTGCACTGAAACTCGAGCCGTTTGGACCCCATTGAAGTCTATCCCTTTAAAGCCCTTTGAAGCTGCATTGAAACTCTCATTTGGACCTTGAACCGCTTGGACCCCATTGAAGTCCATTATATGGAGAAAATCCTGGAATGTTTTCATCAAAAACCTTCATTTCTTTTCGACTGAAGAAAGAAAGACATGGACATCTTGGATGACATGGGGGCGAGTAAATTATCAGCAAAAGTTTTTTTTAAAAGTGAACTACTCCTTTAAGTTTATTGTTTAGACCCCACTGACAAATAATTGTTGTTTTAGTCACTTACTTAATTTTGATACATTTTCCCCCTGTAGTCAATAATTTTTACTCCTAAAACTCATCTTAGATTACCAAAATTACATTTTTAAACATTCTTTCCTGAAAAAAAGTCTCTCACACAAAATCTTGAATGTAACTCGACACCCTCGCCTCATTTAGTATGCGTGGTTCTATGAATATGCAAAATAGCCCCGCCTCCACTCACTCACTCACTCAGAGAGCCACTGGTTGACGATCACACGTTGATCTGATTGGTTACAAGGTGGTTTGTGACGTCAGAAACACCAGCGATTTCAAAGCGTGTTTTTGAGGTTCACTGAAAATACTCAGCAATGCTGTCCACTTATCAACTTACACATGGTGTGTGTGGTAAAGCGGATTAAAAACACCACTTGATTTACACCACAGGCGGACTTTAAATTCTTAATATCTTCAGTCATTTTGCTTCTTCTCCAGTAAATCTTGGTTTAAGACTGTTTAGTGTGCTGGAAAACAAGATGTTTTGCTAAGTGAGAATGGGATGATAAATGAGTTACGTTTTTTACATTGACATTTGAATGCGTTTGGCAGATGCTTTTATCTCGCACTGCATTATTCACTGTATTAGTTCTTCATCAGTTCTCTCTCTGTCTTCTTCCAGGCACGATGCGTCCCGTCCAGCGCAATTTCTACGACCCGTCCTCGTCTCCGGGAAAGGGCATCGTGTGGGAATGGGAGAACGACTGTGGATCCTGGACTCCTTACGACATGGAGTTGTGCGTGAGCATCCAGAACGCGTACGAGAAGCAGCACCCCTGGCTGGACCTGAGCTCGCTGGGCTTCTGCTACCTGGTGGACTTCGACGGGATGTCCCAAACCAACCGGCAGAGTCAGAGAAAGCGGCGCATTCGTCGGCGGATGGACCTCGCGTATCCGCTAATCGCCGGATCAATCCCCAAATCCCAGTCCTGGCCCGTGGGCACCAACTCGGGAACCCCGTGCACATGCCAGCAGTGCATGCTGGTCCACAGCACACGGGCCGCGTCAAACGCCATCTTGGCTCTGCAGCAGAGGCGACGACTCTACGGGACGGACCCGACGAGTGCTGTCGTCAGGCAGAGCAACACCTTCGCCGGCTCCTCCCTCTGGTCGCCCACGACGACTGTTGCTAGGGGACACCATAACAACATAAAGGTCGGTGGAGGTGGAGGCGGGAAGATGGAGATGAACGGCGGGAGTTTCTCGTGTGTCCCTGCGCTCGTGACGCTTCCCACCAATCACACGCTTACGATTAACGGACAGAATAATCTCAACCGGCCGGGAACGCAGCGGATCACCGTGACGACGAGCAGAGGAGCCATTCCGCCAGGGTAAGAGATGATCTATCTATCTATCCATCCATCATCGATTTATCATTCTATCTATCGTTTGTTCATTTGTTTTATCTATCCATCTATCTACTTATCTATCTATCTATCTATCTATCTATCTATCTATCTATCTATCTATCTATCTATCTATCTATCTATCTATCGTTCTATCTATCTATCTATCTATCTATCTATCTATCTATCTATCTATCTATCTATCTATCTATCCATCTATCTATCTATCGTTCTATCTATCCATCGTCTATCTATCTATCGTTATATCTATCATTCTATCGTTCTATCTATCGTTCTATCGATCTATCTATCTATCTATCTATCGTTCTATCTATCGTTCTATCTATCATTCTATATTGTTCTATCTATCTATGTATCTATCTATCTATCTATCTATCTATCTATCCATCTATCTATCTATCGTTCTATCTATCATTCTATTGTTCTATCTATCTATCTATCTATCTATCTATCTATCTATCTATCTATCTATCTATCTATCTATCTATCTATCTATCCATCTATCTATCTATCGTTCTATCTATCGTTCTATCTATCCATCGTCTATCTATCTATCGTTCTATCTATCATTCTATCGTTCTATCTATCGTTCTATCGATCTATCTATCCATCTTCTATCTATCTATCTATCTATCTATCTATCTATCTATCTATCTATCTATCTATCATTCTATATTGTTCTATCTATCTATCTATCTATCTATCTATCTATCTATCTATCTATCTATCTATCTATCTATCTATCTATCTATCTATCTATCTATCTATCTATCTATCTATCTATCTATCCATCTATCTATCTATCTATCTATCTATCTATCGTTTTATCTATCATTCTATTGTTCTATCTATCTATCTATCTATCTATCTATCTATCTATCTATCTATCGTTCTATCTATCGTTCTATCTATCGTTCTATCTATCGTTCTATCTATCGTTCTATCTATCATTCTTTATATTGTTCTATCTATCTATGTATCTATGTATCTATCTATCTATCTATCTATCTATCTATCTATCTATCTATCTATCTATCTATCTATCTATCTATCTATCTATCTATCTATCTATCTATCCATCCATCTATCTATCTATCGTTCTATCTATCTATCTATCTATCCATCGTCTATCTATCTATCGTTCTATCTATCATTCTATCGTTTAATCTATCGATCTATCTATCCATCTACTATCTATCTATCGTTCTATCTATCATTCTATCATTCTATCTATCGTTCTATCGATCTATCTATCCATCTTCTATTTATCTATCGTTCTATCTATCATTCTATTGTTCTATCTATCTATCTATCGTTCTATCTATCTATCTATAATTCTATCATTCTATCGTTCTATCTATCATTCTATCTATCATTCTATATTGTTCTATCTATCTATCTATCTATCTATCTATCTATCTATCTATCTATCTATCTATCTATCATTCTATCTATCATTCTATTGTTCTATCTATCGTTCTATCTATCGTTCTATCTCGATAAATAGAAAGGTTTATGTATTATTCATTTTAATATCTTTATTTTGAGCTGTTTGCACTCTTTTTGCATCACTTTTCTTTGTTTATTGATGCTATTCAGTTTTGTAGAGATTGAATGCCTTGAACAGAGAAATAATCAATAGTGTCCTTTTGCATCGTGACAGTGAATCAGTCAAACACACTGTGAAACACACACACATTCTCTCTCTCTCTCTCTCTCTCTCTCTCTCTCTCTCTCTCTCTCTCTCTCTCTCACACACACACACACACACACACACACTGCTGCTGTAATGCATCTATAAATCTTGTCCTTTCCTCTGAGCGTGTGAAAATCATTGTTTGAGTGTGTCTTTGGTCGAGTTAAACCGCATGCGAGTGTGTGTGTGTGTGTGTGTTTGTGTGAATCGTTTGCCATCCAGGCTGTGATACACAGGGGGAAGATGAATAATGGATCAAGGCAAAACGGAGCCTCAGCAGACACACACACACACACACACATACTGAAGGGGTGTAAATCCTAGGAAATGTGAAGTTGCGATGAAACCACAAACACACTTCAGCAGAAACACAGAGCAGCGCAGAGACGAAGAGAGAGTGAGAGAAAGAGTGTAAATACAGATAAGTTTGCATTGTTCCCAGGCGAGCGGTTCCACACACAGGATGATCGTGGTTCACACACACACACACACACACACACACACACAGATAACATGGTCACATGCAGTAAACACCACTGTCGATCTCTCAGCTGTGTGACATGAACACACACACATACACAAAGATAGCGTGGCATCACGTGTAGTGAACATCGCTGTAGATCTCTCAGCTGTGTGACATGAACACACACACAGAACAGCTTCAGTGAACATCTCTCATAGGTTTTCATACTAATGCATTTACACTGTCTATTCACACTGAAAGAGTGAGGTCTGGCTAATAAACAGGTTTCATATCTGTCTGAAACTATTTTAACCCTTTTTACAGCGGCGTTAACTCCTCATGAATAATAAATACTGATAAATTCATGTCTGACAATAAAGATATACAACCTGAGAATCATTTTCCCGGACAGTATTCCAGCAATCATGTTGTGTTACATGTTCTTTCTCAGTATCTTTGTCTTATATTCCAGTGCAAATATCTAAAAATCCTTAAATCAAGATACATTTGCTTAAGCAAAATGACTTGATAATATTTAGATATTTGTAGTGGAAAAAGACAAAAATACTAAGCTAGAAACTAAGCTAGAAAACGTGAATGAATCACTTTTGAACTTTTCAAACGGCTCAGTTTGATTCATTCGCTCAGTTCACTCACACACTGAACAGTTTCTACATTGAAACAAATGAGACCAGGATACTTTCAAAAGCCTCAGATGAAGTGATTTTTACCTGCAATACTTTTTAGGAAATTTGTCAACAATGAAGCAGATCTTTATTGACTCTATACACTGATTTCACGCAGCCATTTGAAATCGAAAGCGAGGCTCCTGTGGGAAGAATCCCGGAAGTGCAGGTAGATTTAAAACATTAAAGGGTTAGTTCACCCAAAAATGAAAATTAAGTCATTAATTACTCACCCCCATGCTGTACCAACCCAGTAAGACCTTCGTTCATCTTCGGAACACAAATAAAGATATTTTTGATTGAATCTGAGGGCTGGATCACTCTTCCACAGACAGCCTGAGGGACTGCCTCTTGACGGCCCAGAAAGTTATTAAAAGAAAAGGTTTAAATATTCCATGTGCCTACAGTGGCTCAACTATAACTTTATCAAGCGACGAGACTACTTTTTGTGGGAAAAAAAAAACGTAAATAACGACTTTATTCGACTTTCCATTACTTCCTTATGGGCGCATGCGCGAGAACTGAGACGAGACCGTTCTTCTTCGACTACTTTTTGTTACCGGCTGCTCACCGCTTAGGAGTTTTACCGCCCCCTACCGTATAAGATGGCGTACTGCTTGTAAACAGAACGTTTTGCGCCTCCGGCTATATCAGTACGTCATCTTATACGGTGAACTATATGGGTGAACTAACCCTTTAACGTTAGATGGATAGGATATGTATATAGTTCGTTCCTGCTTCTTTTTTTGTTCTAAATATATATTTAAAATGTATTTATAAATTTAGAAATGTTACGGTATATAGTCTAAACTATGAAAGAAATGTATGTACACTTTTAGAACAACAAATTTCTACATTAAACACAATACGCCATCGCATTCGCGACCCTCATATGATTTAAAGCGACACTTCCGGTTTTCTTCCCACCGGAGACAATTCAAAATGACGTGAAATCGGCGTATAGCAGATAAAGACAATTCATACCCCATATTAATAACAGGATCAAAATATGGTTCAGGTACAGATGTTTTTTGCTGATGAAGGATGTGTGTTTGTGTGTATATATATATATATATATATATATATATATATATATATATATGTTCTGCACCGCCACTAGAGGGCAGAGTCGGACAGATGCTGATGACACACACTCACCAGTGTTCAGGTTTACTCTTCACTGTAGTTATCTACTCAATTATTCAATGGTTTCTGTTCTCATTAATCTTCACATGAACGTTTGTGAGATTAATCCTCTGAATGTAGTAATTCATTGGCTTTTGTATTATAACAAACGTTTTTATTTTAAAGTTAAAAAATAATGTGAGACCCTTTAGAATTAGGGCATCTAGAATATCTTATCATACAATTTTATCTTTTCATCATCTTATCTTATCATATTATCGTATCTAATCTTATCATATCATCATTTTATCTTTTCATCTTATCTTATCTTATCATCATGTTATATGCATATGCAGAGCTCCACACACACACTGGAATAGAATTGAGCAGAATCATTGAATCTGAATTGATAGTTTAGTGCCATTATGAACATGAATATAGGCCTGTGTATGATTCCTAGTGTTGTAAATCAGATGTATCTGTGATCATGTAGTAGGGGTATTTGACAGTCGTTTTCTGACCCATTTCAGTGTTGTTTTTGGCTAAACACTAACGGTTTCATAGTTCTATTCAACTCAACGACTGACTTCCTGTTTTACTTCCTGTGAGCGAGTGTGAGATCAGAAGAGGAAGTGTGTGTGTTTGATGAGAGAGGAGAGATGATGGATGCGGATGAAGACTCGTCGGAGGACAGACGGTAGGATCGTTCTCATGTCGGTTCGGCTCGATCACGAGAGTTTGAGATCTGTAACAGATGAGAGATTAGACATCGCGCTGGTTTACTCCTGGAAACAGCTTAACTCGGTTTACAGGCGTATAGAAATGGTTTCATTTAGTTTTATTTGAATGTAAACAAGAAGTAAACCCTGGACAAAGGGTTTTATTGTATATATGTAGGCTAATAATTCCTTTTATCAGATGTACATTTCAAAGATATTCATTATTTATCTAAGTTATAGGCAATTTAAGTGGAGTTTTATTTTATTTTATAATTATTTTATTTGATTAATTCATTAAGTTAAGTATTAATTCCATTTCTTAAATGATATATAGGCTAATTGAGAAGATATTTTATTTTATTATTTTATTTGAGGAATATTATAATTCAATTTATCTGAAATTTCAATGTATACACCTGTTGAGCAAAATCACATTTTATTTAATTTTTAATTTTTTTTAAATGTTTTTCAATATTTTATTTTATGATTTCTATTGACTTTTATTTATTTATATATATATATAATTTATTTATTTATTTTTTTCAATTATTTTATTTTATTAATTCATTGAGTTATGTATGTAATAATTCCATCTATTAAATGATATATAGGCTAATTGAGAAGATATTTCATTTTATTATTTTATTTGAGGAATGTAATAATTAAATTTATATGAAATCTTTTTAACGTATACACCAGTTGAGCAAAATCATATTTTTATTTATTTATTTATGTTTTTTAATATTTTATTTTATGATTTCTATTGAGTTTTATATATATATATATATATATATATCATAATTTCATTTATTAGATGACCTGCAGGCTAATGAAGTACTTTGGAGTTTTAAATACCATTATTAAACATTCAGTATATATAAATATAAAATATACCAAAGTATCCAAGCCACTGCAGTATTTTTCGGGATCATTTCAGTGTTGATGTGCTTTGTGTTTTTTTTTTTTTTTTTAGTACAACCTGAAGTTTAGAGTACTAGAAATACTATTTTACATCAGTATTCACTCATCTATGTGTCAGAAACACATTCTGTGCAGAGTTAAATCCAATATTAAATCAAATTGCCTATAACCATTTGTTATAGTGTTTATTTATCCATAAAAAACTATGTTTGAACATGGACAGACTGAAGCGGCCTGAAGATCATTATCATTCCAATGCAGCCACATAGCAACAGCTTAGCAACCACCCACAACATCCTAGCAGTGTCCCTGAGATGCTATTTTAGTTTGAATTAATATTTGTATTTTTTTTTTTGCGAGTGAACACAAAAATAATAAAAACACTATAATAACTAGAATAGCATGTCGTTTCAGCCACTAGATCTAATCAGTGTGAACGAGAGAAATGAAACCAGATAGAGAGCGATGCATTAATAGCTGAAACATGATTAGAAATTGAAACTAGTTTTTGTGCCGTGCCTAAAAGATATCCGGGCTTTTCAGTAAACAGCAGTGAGATTCTCTTGATTTGAGATGAAGGCCTGTTTATGTGCTGGATTGGCTGATCTTCTCTCCTCAGGGATGAAAGACTCAGTTTCTGTGCTTTATTAATTAGTTTTTGTTCCTCATGTGATCCGATAAGCTGTAATGATGCGTCTTCCCCCTCACTGATGTAATTAAGATGATATTCAGATCTTCTTTCTGTTCACGTGTGTGTGTGTGATCTGATGGAGGCGTCGTGTTTCTTGTTTTTCTCTCACTGGATGCTGATTGGTCCGTTCAGAACTTAATTTGATTGGACGGTTCCACTGGCATGAGCGGATGAGGAAGTGTGTGAGTGTTTGGGATGCATGTTCAGAGGGTTGGATGGTCTCTTGTTGTACGTCTGCAGATGTTTAGTGGAGATGTGTCATTGACTGTGTTGATGTCTGTGGTTCTCAGTGTTCCTGCACTCCCTGTGAAGAATCTGACTGGACCCGGACCCGTCCACCCGGCCCTAGCAGGTACAACACCAGAACATTGCACTCCGTTTAGTGCAAAAACATCAAAACTTTTATTATATTATTTGATTTTAATATTTTGCTCTGTACAATATATATATATATATATATATGTGTGTGTGTGTGTGTGTGTGTGTGTATGAAGAGTTCAGATGCAAAAGCCTCTAAATGCCATTTGAAATTTTCTTCTTTAATGATGATTTTTATCAAACTTGTATATTTAAGTTCAGTGATTTCACTTAAATGGCAATGATAATTACCTATTAATTGTTATTTAAATGAAATTACTGAACTTAAATATACAAGTTTGATAAAAATCATCATTAAAGAAGAAAATTTCAAATGGCATTTAGAGGCTTTTGCATCTGAACTCTTCATATATATATATATATACATTATTATAAAATTTTTAATTTAGGATGTAAACAGATTAGCTCTTTGTAATTGTTTAATTTTTATCATTTTTATTTTGTTTTATTTTGCAAGTAAACAACTGTACAAAGTTATATTATTATTTTTTAAAATAATTTTATTAAACAAGTAATAATTCTGCACAGAGGTATTTAAAAATGTTTTAATGTATTTTAGTATTTATAATTTCTATTTTATTTAATTTTGCATGTAAACAGCCTAACTTGCAAAGTTATATAATTTTTTTTAAAATAATTTTAACTCTGTACAAAGGTATTTATAAATGGTTTCATTTATTTTAGTATTTTTATTTAATTTAATTTTGCATGTAAACAGCTTAACTTGCAAAGTTATATGATTTATTTTATTTTATTTCACAAGTAATGACTGTACAAAGCTAAATAAAAATGGTTTATTGTATTATTTTTATTTAATTTTTCAAGTAAACTCTGCAAAAGTATTTGAAAATCGTTTTATTATTTTTATTTTATTTTGCAAGTAAACTGCTTAACTCTGTACAGAAGTATATAATACTGTTTTATTATTTTATTTGATATTTTGTTTAAGTACAGTAAATAGCTGAAATCTGTACCAAGGTGTATAGAAATAGTTTTTAATCTTTATTTTTTATTATTATTGTAACATGCCAGTAAAATAAGTACCAAAGAAAGATAAAAAAGGACAAAATCAGGAATAAATGAAGAAAAAATATCACATACTAAACTGTTGTATTGGCACATAAACAAGCTTCTCACATATACTGTGATCTGAAAGCATGTAATGTTGTGTGTGTGTCAGGAATGACGGGGATCCTGCTGTGTGCGGCCGGGTTCCCGGTGTGTTTGACCCGCGCGCCTAAACCCGTCCTGCACCCGCCGGCGCTCAACAAGAGCGACATCAAACCAGTGCCGGGAATCAACAGCATCCGCCGCAAGACCAAGAAGAAACACCTGCGCAAAGGTCAGGCAGCAGAAAATTATACAAATTATAAATATATTCATTTTTTTTTTATTTGTTACACTTTTTATTTGAACATGCTAGTCAAATAAGGACCAATAAATGATTTTAAATCAAATATTTGTATTTATTTTATTTTTAATTACATTTTATTCAAGTAAACAAATTATGATTTTTGTTTTTTTTGATCCAGATTAACACTGCGCTGTGATTTGGATCTGAATCATTTGTTTGTTTGGTCTCTTTCTTCCAGGTAAAAA